CTGACACTAGGATAATCTGTCGGGATTCACAGGAATCAGTCAACCGGCAACCAGAGGTTACTGGCATCACTTTCTCAGGTACAACCTACAACCATTTTGCCCTTGGGCAAGGCAGGTCTTAAACCCACCCGGCCTAACCAGGTGCTGCTATGCAGCTGACCCTTTGCTGCTCCCAGCCTGCCATGTGGCGTGTCAGTGGGGCCAGTGCAGCCCTCTATGTACAGTCTATTCAGACCCCTTTAAATTGTTTTTTTTCCCTCATCAATCTACACACAATACCCCATAATGTTTGCAAATGTATTACAAATAAAAGACTGAAATGTCACATTTACATACACTACCGTTCAAAAGTTTGGGGTCACTTAGAAATGTCCTTGTTTTTGAAAGAAAAGCAATTTTTCTGTCCATTAAAATAACAAAAAAATTATCAGATATGCAGTGTAGACATTGTTAATGTTGTAAATGACTATTGTAGCTGGAAACAGCTGATTTTTTATGGAATATCTACATAGGCGTACAGAGGCCCATTATCAGCAACCATCAGTCCTGTGTTCCAATGGCACGTTGTGTTTGCTAATCCAAGTTTATCATTTTAAATGGCTTATTCATTATTAGAAAACCCTTTTGCAATTATGTTAGCACAGCTGAAAACTGTTGTGCTGATTTAAAGAAGCAATAAAACTGGCCTTCTTGAGACTAGTTGAGTATCTGGAGCATCAGCAATTGTGGGTTCAATTACAGGCTCAAAATGGCCAAAAACAAAGAACTTTCTTCTGAAACTCGTCAGTCTATTCTTGTTCTGAGAAATGAAGGCTATTCCATGCGAGAAATTGCCAAGAAACTGAAGATCTCGTACAACGCTGTGTACTACTCCCTTCACAGAACAGCGCAAACTGGCTCTAACCAGAATAGAAAGAGGAGTGGGAGGCCCCGGTGCACAACTGAGCAAGAGGACAAATACATTAGAGAGTCTAGTTTGAGAAACAGGCGCCTCACAGGTCCTCAACTGGCAGCTTCATTAAATAGTACCCGCTAAACACCAGTTTCAACGTCAACAGTGAAGAGGCGACTCCGGGATGCTGACCTTCTAGGCAGAGTTGCAAAGAAAAAGCCATATCTCAGACTGGCCAATAAAAAGAAAACATGAAGATGGGCAGTTTGAGATATGGCTTTCTCTTTGCAACTCTGCAAAACAAGGACATTTCTAAGTGACCCCAAACTTTTGAAAGGTAGTGTAAGTATTCAGGTACTTTACTCAGTACTTTGTTGAAGCACCTTTGGCAGCGATTACAGCCTCCGGTCTTCTTGGGTATGACGCTACAGGCTTGGCACACCTGTATTTGGGGAGTTTCTCCCATTCTTCTCTGTAGATCCTCTCAAGCTCTGTCAGGTTGGATGGGGAGCGTCGCTGCACAGCTATTTTCAGGTCTCTCCAGAGATGTTAGATCGGGTTCAAGTCCGGGCTCTGGCTGGGCCACTCAAGGACATTCAGAAACTTGTCCTGAAGCCACTCCTGTGTTGTCCTGGCTGTGTGCTTTGAGTCGTTGTCCTGTTGGAAGGTGAACCTTTGCCCCAGTCTGAGGAGCAGGTTTTCATCAAGGTTCTCTCTGTGCTTTGCTCCGTTAATCTTTCCCTAGATCCTGACTAGTCTCCCAGTCCCTGCCGCTGAAAAACATCCCCACAGCATGATTCTGCCATCACCATGCTTCACCGTAGGGATGGTGCCAGGTTTCCTCCAGACATGACGCTTGACATTCAGGCAAAGAGTTCAATCTTGGTTTCATCAGACCAGAGAATCTTGTTTCTCATGGTCTGAGAGTCCTTTAGGTGCCTTTTGGCAAACTCCAAGCGGGCTGTCATGTTGCTTTTACTGAGGAGTGGCTTACGTCTGGCCATAAAGGCCTGATTGGTGGAGTGCTGCAGAGATGGTTGTCCTTCTGGAAGGTTCGCCCATCTCCACAGAGGAACTCTAGAGCTCTGTCAGAGTGACCATCAGGTTCTTGGTCACCTCCCTGACCAAGGCCCTTCTCCCCCGATTGCTCAGTTTGGCCGGGTCTGAATACTTATGTAAATAAGGTTTTTCTGTTTTTTTATTTTTAATACATTTGCTAAAATTTCTAAAAACCTGTTTTCACTTTGTCATTATGGGGTATTGTGTGTAGATTGATGAAAACATTAATTTAGTCTATTTTAGAATAAGGCTGTAACGTAACAAAATGTGGAAAATGTGAAGGGGTCTGAATACTTTCCAAATGCACTGTATGGCTTTGGTTGTGGTGGGTACTGACTCAGCAAAAATACAAGTTTCTGGTGTTATTCTACACTGAGTATACAAAACATTAAGACCACCTGCTCTTTCCATGATGACATAGACGGACCAGGTGAATCCAGGTGAAAGCTATGATCCCTTATTGATGTCACTTGTTAAATCCACTTCAATCAGTGTAGATGAGTGGGAGGAGACCGGATTTTTAAGCCTTGAGACAATTGAGACATGGATTGTGTATGTGTGCCATTCAGAGGGTGAATGGGCAAGACAAAATATTTAAGTGCCTTTGAACGGGGTATGGTAGTAGTTGCCAGGTGCACCAGATTGTGTCAAGAACTGCAACACTGCTGGGTTTTTCATGCTCAACATTTTCCCGTGTGTATCAAGAATGTTCCACCACTCAATGGACATCTAGCCAACTTGACATAACTGTGGGAAGCATTGGAGTCAACATGGGCCAGCATCCCTGTGGAACGCTTTCGACACCTTGTAGAGTCCATGCCCCGACGAATTGAGGGGGGGTTCGCAAATCAATGTTAGGAAGGTGTTCCTAATATTTGCTATACTCAGTGGATAGGCAAATTGTTAAATTAATTAATACATTAAATTAGATAGTTTATTAGTCACATGAACAGGGTCGTAGATGTGATTGTAGGGTACAGTGAAATTCTTAAGCTCCAACAGTGCAGGTCAAAGAGTGAATAAATCAATAAAAAATAATATATACATATTTAAAGCTGTAACAATGTTAACTGTCTATTGGGGGGTGGGGGCAGGATAAATGTTCAGCAACCTAGTGGTGGCTATTCAGCAGCCGGATGGTCTGGGGGTAGAAGCTATTGGCCAGTCTGCCAGTTTTTGCCATGATGCTCCAGTACTGCCCACGTCTGAGGGATGGAAGCGGGGAAAACAGGCTGTGGCTCGGGTGGCTGAGGTCCCTGATGCCTTCCTGCGACACCTGGTGTTGTAGGTGTCCTGGAGGGTAGGCAGTGTGCACCCAATGGTACCACCTTCTGTTAGAGTCTTGCGGTCAGCGGCGTTGGAGTTGCTGTACCAGATTGTGATACAGCCCGACAGTATGCTCTTGATGGTGCTCCTGTAGAACACTGAGGGCCCTCTGGGACAGGCCAAATTTATTCAGCCTCCTGAGGTCGCTGTCGTGCCTTCTTCACCACAGTGTCGTGTGGTTTGACCATTTCAGCTCACTGAAGATGTGTACGCAGAGGAAATTAACGTTTTTGACCATCTCCATGGTGGCCCAGTTGATGAGGATGGGGGCGTGCCCAGCCTGGTTCCTCCTGAAGTCCACAATCAGCTCCTTCGTTTTGCTGACATGGAGGGAGAGGTTGTTTACCTGGCACCATGCCGTCAGAGTGCCTACCTCCACTCTGTAGGCCTTCAAGTCGTTGTTGGTAATCAGGCCTACTACTGTTGCGTCGTCAGCGAACTTGATTATGGATTTGGAACTGTGTGAGGCCACACAGTCGTGGGAATACAGTCAGCGGCAATCCTGTGGGTGAAAACAACTTGTTGATGAAAGAGGTCGAAGGAGAATGGCAAGAAACGTGCAAGCCAACAGGCGGGCCACAAACAGACAAATAACGGTGCAGTACAACAGTCGTGTGCAGAACGGCATCTCAGAACGCACAACTTGTCGATCCTTGTCACGGATGGGCTATTGCAGCAGACGACTTGACCGGGTTCCTCTCCTATCAGCTAAAAACAAGAAGAAGCGGCTCCAGTGGGCATGTGATCACCAACACTGGACAATTGAGGAGTGGAAAAACATTGCCTGGAACATGACAGCGAGTTCAGTTTACTTGAGTGGCCTGCGCAGTTCCCAGACCTCAACCCAATAGAGCATCTTTTGGATGAGATGGAAAGGGCTGTTTGCAGCATGATTGTACAGCCGTCCAATCTGCAGCAACTGCGTGATGCCATCGCATCAGCATGGACCAACACCCCTGTGGAACGTTTCCGACATCTTGTAGAATGCCCCGAAGAATTCAGGCTATATGGAGGCAAAGGGGGTCCGACACAGGACTTGATCGGTGTACCTTGATGGGTGTACCTAATAAACTGTATATTCTGATTCAACTAATCAAATAATTCCCAGTAGTTGAATCCGTGTTTGTGCTCCCCATAGCTCTCCAGGACCAGGGTTGGTGACCTTATTGTATGATGAGCATCAAAGGCTTTTTTTCTGCTACACTACACTAGACTATAGCTAGTTATGATTGCAGCACAGCACTTTAGAAGGCAATAATTTAAAGCCATCACTGGAAGAGGATTTTCAGTGCAAAATGAATTGAACTGCTTACCGGTATGTAAAAGAAAAATTAACATTTCATGACTTGATAATAGTCCTGTTCTTGAAGGGCAGCATGTTTTGTTGCATTAGGCTCCATATGGTTTCATTATGGAGAGTAGAGTTCCAATTCAGAATTGGTCCAATATGTCCCGGTCATAGATTGAATATGATTATTTATGCATTTCAACAATAAACCAACCACCTGTGACCTTTTATTATTTTAATGTCAATGAAATCCAACATTCAGTATAATTTCCCCTAGCTCAAATACCGGAGAGAAGCACAATAGATGCATAATCTTATAATTTAGGCTTGTCATTTAAATAAATATCTACACGTAGGCCAGCTATTGCTATTGAAGCAGAGACACGAAATAAAGAAAACATTTCGCGTGTGTATGAGTGAGAAAGTAGCAATATGCTATGTCCCTTCGTGTTCTATTAGTGGAATTCGCCGTCCACTGTCCAAGAAGCGCGCCCCCATCACCAGTCACGTGGTTGGTTAGTGTCCGCTGACGTCACCAGAGCCAGATTTGTGAAGAATAAGCAGACAGGAGAACAAGCCCGAGGTGCGGCACTTTATATCGCGTCGTCCTTTCATAGAGAGAGAACAGATAATCTGTTCAATATTTTAGAGACCCAATGCCTGGTCCCACCCAAGCACTGTCCCCAAATGGAGAGAATAACAACGACATCATCCCAACGGACGGATCCAACTGCATTCCTTACAGAAAAAATACAGTGCGAGGAGAGCGCGCCTACAGGTAAATCCGTGCAAATGCCGCATTTGGCGTGGCTTCATAGCAAGGCTTTGAGCAATAATAAGGTTGCTGCAAAACTCTGAATATTTGTTTCACGAGCATTGGATGTTTTCCACGCCATCTGCTCGATCCTTTTCAATTCTGTTACAATGTATCAGCTCGTGCAATACATTGGATGTATTCCCTTTTGGTGACTGTTTCTTGACCATGGCGTAAATCGTATTGAATAGGCCCCTGCAAGTTCACAATTATGCCAAAGCGAAATCGGTGACATTTAAACATAAAATAACACACATTGTGTGGCCAGTTGGAAATGGGACCGTTGTGGAAGAAACTAGCAGGTTAGCTTGATTCATTGTCAAATACACAGTTACTGTCTTGACTATAATTGCAATAGCTGCTAGAATATTCTTGCTGGCCATACGCTACCTAATCGTGTGTTCTGGGAAAAGGGGCACGGTTAATGTCTTAGCTCTTCCGTTTATTTTATGACATGGTTTTAAACCCAGTCTGTTCACATTATAAACTCTTCTGTTTGGGTCAAGTACAGCCAATGAGCTAACAAAGCTAGCAGTACATCTGCTTTGTTGACACGAGAACGGCTGTCCGATTTTCTGTCTCCCCGAATCTATCAGTGCACAATCAATGAAAAGGATAGTTGGAAACCGAACCTCCAGTCCACATTTTGTCCGTTTTTGCCATTCATGTTTAGGGTTTAACTGTTAGGATGTTGATTATGCGCTTGATGTAATTGTAGCCTAACGTTAGCTGTTACCATCATCTTATCAAATGGAAATGCTTGTTCGTAGCATTATGGCCAGCCCTGTGACAAGCGATGTAAGCTCATTAGTTGAATGTTTGTATTTTGAATGGTGGAGCAATAGATACTAGTAGACATGTGTCTCCTATGTCCTAAACACCAGGCCCGTTATTTTTGCGGATACCCATTTGAGAATATGAAATGTTGCAACAACAATTCGGGTCTTACATTTTGACATGATGTGTGCTCCCATCATTAGAATAAAAGTATTCCAAATACCAAAGCTGTGAAAAACTTTATTTTTTGCTGAACTTTACAAGGCTACACTTAAAGACAAGTTTTGCATTTACTGTGAAGGGTGATCAACAGTTTCAAACATTATACTATTCATGCCATTTGTTTGCAGTGTGAGAGCTTACACCACTTTTATGTCACTTTGCTTTGTTGATGTTTCTGAAGATAACATCTCAACTCACAGCCAGCTTCATTATGAAAATGACCGTTTTTAGCTTATTCCCATCCAATGTGCTCCTCCTTATCCCATATAGATTTTGTGCTACACCCATACTCAAACTCCTGTTATGAGTGTATTTACATGATTGTTTACAAGAGTCGATAGTGTGTATACATTTCAGCTAAGTTGGGCATCTCAATCTTATAGCCGCATTACTAACATGTTATTACATTACTGGACCTAACATGGGATATGCATAGAGATCAATTGTAATAGATGTTATTAAGCAATTTGACAGTGGGAATTGGTTGGAATGAAAATCAGCATACACACTGATCTCACAGAATTGGATTTGAGACCAGTGTGCCTTTATTTCGTAGCTCTGGTTATAGGCCTAGGTTTACTGGCTCGCTGTCGAGTTTCCCCTTGATGGTTTGTATTGTTGTTATCTGCCTTGCTTCATCTTTGCGACCGCATCACTTTATATTTAATGTTAGTAGTTGAAAATGATATGGTGGCTTTTATCTGTTGGTCAACAATTGTGTGTACAGAATATGTTGGCTAACCATTCTGTAAAAGAGATTACAAAAAAATCCTTATTTTGAGATGGTAATGTTTTGGAGAAAGTGAAATGTAACTGACTGAGAGGTGGCTTTTTAAAATCTTTTGCAGTTGGGGGATGGCGGTCAACGTATATTCTACCTCAATAACCCAGGAGACTATGAGCAGGCATGACATCACTGCCTGGGTTAACGATCTTCTCGGTCTGAACTACACTAAAGTGGAGCAGCTCTCCTCAGGTAAGAATAATTACCCTGTTAACCTTGCTGCAAACTGTTCTTCCTCCCAGACCGAAGGACCTCATTATGGGCTAAAGATATAGGCCTAGCATAGGAAGGGAGATGCAGAATGATACTGTAGGTATTGGAAGGGAGAGCGATGTCCATGCTTTTCCTCTGTTCCACACTAAGCTTCTGCTAATTACCAGGTAATAGGTATAGTCAAATGTATAGTCAAAGAAACCTGGTCTAAACCTAACCCTGCTCCTAACCTATCCTTGCTCTGACAGAGAAGACATACAGTGCTATTAATACAACTAGTTTGCGCACTTGCTGTGGCTACCATGCCATGGCTGCCCCAAGTAATCCAATATCTCCTGAACCACACACAGTCATGTAGCAAGGTGTGCTAATGGTACTATTTTGAGGTTAAAGCTGCTTGTCACTTCCAGCACTGTCAAGTCTGTTGTGTCTGGTCCGCTGTAGGTAGTGTTGTGCACAGGTTGGCTAATGGCAGTGCTGTGAGACATTTCGATCAAGCGTATGCCTGAAAAATATCGTTTGTTCGTTATCATTAGTTTCGAACCTGTATCAGAAGAGAAACAAATTGTAGTTTTGTGTCACATCTTCTGACGTGGTTTTATTTTCATTCACTTGTAGGAGCGGCCTACTGCCAGTTCATGGATTTGCTCTTCCCTGGCTGCGTCAGTCTTAAGAAGGTTAAGTTCCAGGCTAAATTCGAGCATGAGTACATTCACAACTTCAAGCTGCTGCAGGCCTCCTTCAAGAGAATGAATGTGGACAAGGTGAGAGAATGAGGCTGAGTGAGTAGTGTCCTGACGGGACCTACTGTAGCTACTAATAACAGTTTACCATTAGATAGGGCTTTTCTTTAGTTACTATGGCTAGCCTAGGCTATATTTGATTGAACACACACAAACACACACACACTCACTTTGCTTCTAAAATATATTTTTTAATGAATGTGTCATATCACGTGAAGTGCAGATTATAAAACAAGTACCCCAATTCTTTGTTCTTGATAAATAGTTTTCCTCTTCTCCTCTATAAAGATTATTCCTGTGGAAAAGCTGGTGAAAGCTAGATTTCAGGACAACCTTGACTTCATCCAGTGGTTCAAGAGGTTCTTTGACGCCAACTACGACGGTAAAGATTACGACCCACTTCAGGCCAGACAGGGTCAGGATGCCATCCCCCCACCGGACCCCGGTGAGCAGATCTTCAACCTGCCTAAGAAGTCTCAACACCACGCAGCCAGCTCCCCCACTGCAGGTAAGAATACCAGCCGCCTGAGGGGTATAACACAAAGCAGGATCAATGAGTTAGCCAGTTAATTTGCCTAAATACTCTGAAATAACAGTTTACTTTTTTAGAAAGATAAGCTTGAAATGGGCATGGTCTAATTAACTTGACAACCAAAAACAAAGTGTAGCTTTCTTAATAAACCAGAAAATTAGTAGTTCATTCTGGTTGCTTATGCAAGTTAGCTGGCCAGGAGTTTTGAACAAGGTGGTACTGATGAGTAAGGTGGGGGGGGGGTGCCTGTAGTGGGGCTCTGCTCCCCCTTGGACTCAGGTGTTCAAAAAAGCAAAAAGCTCTAAATGCCATTTCCTGCAATCTTGAGCCTTAAATTATAACAAATAAAGTAAAAAATAGTTTATATAGTGGCGCAGCCAGTCCACAAGGTGGTGCAGCGCCCCTCTTACATTCATTTGGAAGAACTCTGCATTGATTCTATTTTGTAGTATACCCCTTTGGACAGCAGACATTGTTTATGTAGATTAGGAAACTGACTGACTAACCTATATTTGTGTTCAGGAGCCACCAGGGCGAGCGCAACAACCCCGAAACAAAACCCTTGCAGCCCCCATCCGTCCTCCAGACCCTCTTCAGCCAAAAGAATCCCAGTTGCAACGACAACTCTGGCCAAAGGAGAGCGGGAACTGGAAGCACAGGTCACATTGCTTAATGACCAGGTATAAAGCCACTACTACAGCATCATAACAATTTCATATATATAAGTTACTACAACAACGTCATTACAACTTAATATATCTAAGTTGGACTCACTGGTAAGATTTGTAAGAATTTGTAATGTTTTTGGCAGAACCAAAATGACAAGTAATTACAAATTGCCTTGAATGATAATTACATAATCCTGATCTTACAAGGATTAGATTACTGTTGAACCCTAAACATGAAAAGGATCCAAGAAACAAGTAATTGGGGATCAGAGGAGCAGCAGTGTATAACAGCAATATTTTTATGATGGAGCATATGTGACCATTTGGATTTGATTGACAACTGGAAAATCATTAATACTGCAAAATCAGTTTACACACAGACAAATTTGTGGTGTAAAGTCAAATAACAAGAGATGATAGGAATATCAATTTGTCTGTCTCATTTTGTGTACAGGTGAACACATTAAAACTTGCACTGGAGGGGGTGGAGAAGGAGAGGGATTTTTACTTTGGAAAGCTGCGGGAGGTGGAAGTGCTGGCACAGGAGCAGGGTCAGGAGAGCGCACAGTTCGTGGAGAGGCTAATGGAGATCCTGTACTCTGCAGACGAACAGGTCAATTGGCTGTTATTGATTGGCTCTTCAGTGATCATTCATAGGAATTTCCCAAAGGCGATTGGGTGTGGGTTGTTGTAGTGCAACATTTGTTTTAGATTCTAGAATGTTGGTACTGGTTTGAATAGTAAATGTTTTGCTACTTGTTCTTTTCTGGGGAGATATTTTCTTTGTAATCACAGGCCTTTGTTTGATTAATCGATCAATTGATTTAGGTTACCTAATGCTATTAATTACTTGAAAAGATCTATGGTGGCTGTAGCCCTAACATTTTGCTATGACTGCTTGTGTCCCCTTAGGAAGGTGCAGGAGAGGGGGAGGGAGAGGATGTGGACCCAGGGGTCCATGAAGAGGAGGTTCCTGATGATCAGCAGGATGAGTACTGACTGCCATCCCTCCCTGTCCCCACCACCATGCCCTTTTGCTTTGTGAGAACTTTGTTACAGGTTAGATATTTTTGTTTCTTTTATATTTAATTTTTTCCCTCATGGTTTATTTCTTTTTGGTTTTCCTGAAGACTGAGCACATGAAGCAACCTCATGAAAAGGAGCACGACCCTTTTTTTTTTTTTTTTTGATATCCCTCCGCTGTTCTGCATTCTGTGTGTTTTGTTGACTGTCGGTGAAATGCTGTGGGCAGGTTGCTGTTATTACATACCGCCACATGCAGAAAAGCTCAGACCATCACAGAATTTTCCAAGGGCAGTGAAAAAGGGTGAAAATATAAGTCATTCAAAATTCTCGATTTTATTAAATGGTAGTATGGAGTAGACAGATATTGTTTTTATCTGACGTGTTACGTATGTTGCCAGCCTCGGTCGGTCCCATGATCCATCCATTATGTACGTTGTTTCAAAGTTAATGTTTATTTTAAAACTTGTACATATCAACCATATTAATCATGAGAACGCAATAAGCAAAAGCCCTGAAGGGCCGGTAGTAGCTCCTATTTAACCTTCCTCCATATGTTGCACTGACATTTTACTCTGGAATGGACAATCTGTCCATAGATTCTCACAATTCACACAATTACAAATTAATTGCAAAAACAATATTTATTAAAAGCTAAGAAGACTTGATATTGCCTCTACGCGAAGGGAGGCAGTACAGTCCATGAGAATCATGAATGAAAAGTAGTAGTAAGTTAGTTAGTTAGACCAATTATGACTAGTATGTGACTATCTTCAGAAATTCAAAGAATTTTGATAATCAGTGTGTACTCAAAAATGCCTTATTTGGTGCTACAGTGACAGAAACAAGGTTGATTCATCAGTATGGCTTCATCATAAGAGAAGGGAGAACATTTTAGTGTAGACTAGTATGATCACAATAAAACATTTTTTTAACTTCAAGAGCAACTAGCCACCGTCGTATTCTATGGAAGTCGGGTATATTTCAGATGTTTTCATATGATTTTTGAACCACAGGTCTTAGGGAAAGTTGTGAGTCAGTTCACTGAGTAATTTGACATACTATATTCCAAGTACGTATATTGTATACCCTTTCTTAATGTTGCATTTATTCTTATTGAACTCGGCAGTGCACCATAATGCTTTAGTCGTATATTGTGTAAATGAAAAGGAATGTAAACATGTACTGTCAATAATTATAAATAGATCATGTTTTTTCTTCTGATGTCCCACTCATTATGCATTCCCCAAAATGTGTTGCATGTTTGCATTTTATTTGTGAATAACTTGACCTGCTTTTTACATATTTAATAAAAAAACAACTATGTTAAGTGAGCTGTGTTTTGTATGTTGAACTTGCTATTTAAAACTGTTGAGATTTGGATGGATTTCCTGTAATAAAACCTTTCACCTTTTCAGTCAAAGGGAGTGTTTCATTACGTTGTCTTATCCATCAAATAACCAACCTTTATTATTATTATTCACTGCGACAGTAGATTGGAATGTGAACTGTTCATTTAGATTTGGCAGTGGTCACCAGTGATGAAATGGCTACCTGCTGGATAAAGAGAATGAATCCTGATGTCACGTCTACTCCCACTCCGGCGCTCGACGTCGCCAGTCTACTAACCACCGGTCCTGGCAACCAATCCTTACGCACTCCTGCGTCTCATCATCAGTCACACCTGGACTTCATTACTCCCTGATTACTTACCCTTTATATAGCAGTCTTTTGTTATCAGTTATCAGGCAGTATTGGTTATGTTTCCTTGTCAGACGTTTCTCTTGTTTTGTATCGTTCTATGTTCATTAATATTAAACTCACTAACTGCATTTGCTTCCTGACTCCCTGCGTCGATGTTACACCTGAGCTTTGATGCAGGAATCAATCAAGAGGTATTGATGCCCAAAACATGCTCTGGCTACCTGTGTGTTTACTGAAGGAACTGACTCCATTTTGGTTGAAAGAGTATCATATTTCTAGTGCTCCTGTTCCTGTCTATTGCATCGAAATAAATGTAGGGCACTGTAGAGTAGACTGAACCAATGAATCCTCTAACATTTGTCATTTTAGAACCAAGTTATCAGCCGCAGACTCAGAGGCCAGACGGTAGATAAATATCCTCTTGCTTTTCACTTGCTAAGTATTTAAACATCAATAAATCAACAAATATACTGAACAAAAATATAAACGCAACATGCAACAATTTCAACGATTTTACTGAGTTACAGTTCATATATGGAAATCAGTCCATTTTAAATTAATTCATTAGGCACTAATCTATGGATTTACATGACCCCACCATCACCATGGGGCACGCTGTTCACGCTGTTGACAAACCTGTCGCCCGCATGACACCATACACGTGGTCTGAGGTTGTGAGGCCGGTTGGACATACTGCAGTGTTTCCTCTGGAAAATGTATTCTACAGACACCCGACAAGGCCCAAATCCCTGTCATTCGCATGACAAAGAGATGGAGATATCGTGGACGTAGGTCGGGGTGCCTTGTAAGGATCCGACGGCGAGCGAGTAATCTGCCTCTTCCATCAGTCCTATTAGCCAACGTACAATCATTGGAAAACAAAATGGACAACCTAAGATCAAGGATATCCTACCAACGGGACATTAAAAACTGTAATATCTTATGTTTCACGAGTCGTGGCTGAACGACGACATGGATAACATACAGCTGGCGGGATATACGTTAGATTGGCAGGATAGAACGGCTGACTCCGGTAAGACAAGGGGTGGAGGTCTGTGTATATTTGTAAACAACAGCTGGTGCACGAAATCTAATACTAAGGAAGTCTTGAGGTTTTGCTCGCCTGAGGTAGAGTATCTCATGATAAGCTGTAGACCACACTATTTATCAAGAGAGTTTTCAAATATATTTTTCGTAGCTGTTTATTTACCACCACAAACCGATGCTGGCACTAGGATTGCACTCAATGAGCTATATAAAGCCATAAGCAAACAGGAAAACACTCGTCCAGAGGCAGCGCTCCTAGTGGCCAGGGACTTTAATGCAGGAAAACTTAAATCCGTTCTACCTCATTTCTACTAGCATGTTAAATGTGCAACCAGAGGGAAAAAAACTAGACCACCTTTACTCCACACACAGAGACGCATACAAAGCTCTCCCTCGCCCTCCATTTGGCAAATCTGACCATAATTCTATCCTCCTGATTCCTGCTTATAAGCAAAAACTAAAGCAGGAAGCACCAGTAACTCGGTTAATAAGGAAGTGGTCAGATGACGCAGATGCTAAGCTACAGGGCTGTTTTGCTAGCACAGACTGGAATATGTCCTGGGATTCTTCCGATGGCATTGAGGAGTACATCACATCACGTAACTGGCTTCATCAATAAGTGCATTGATGACATCGTCCCCACAGTGACTGTACGTACATACCCCAACCAGAAGCCATGGATTACAGGCAACATCGGCACTGAGCTAAAGGGTAGAGCTGCCCCTTTCAAGGAGCAAGACTCAAACCTGGACGCTTACAAGAAATCCCACTATGCCCTACGACAAACCATCAAACAGGCAAAGAGTCAATACAGGACTAAGATTGAATCGTACTACACCGGCTCCGACGCTCGTCGGATGTGTCAGGGCTTGCAAACTATTACAGACTACAAAGGAAAGCACAGCCGCGAGCTGCCCAGTGACACGAGCCTACCAGACGAGCTAAATTACTTCTATGCTCGCTTCGAGGCAAGCAACACTGAAGCATGCATGAGAGCGTCAGTTGTTCCGTGTGACTATGTGATCACGCTCTCCGTAGCCGATGTGAGTAAGACTTTTAAGCAGGTCAACATTCATAAGGCCGCAGGGCCAGACGGATTATCAGGACGTGTACTCTGACCATGCGCTGACCAACTTGCAAGTGTCTTCACTGACATTTTCAACATGTCCCTGACTGAGTCTGTAATACCAACATGTTTCAAGCAGACCACCATAGTCCCTGTGCCAAAGAACACTAAGATAACCTGCCTAAATGACTACCGACCCATAGCACTCACATATGTAGCCATGAAGTGCTTTGAAAGGCTGGTCATGGCTCACATCAATACCATTATCCCAGAAACCCTAGACCCACTCCAATTTGCATACCGCCCCAACAGATCCACAGATGATGCAATCTCTATTGCACTCCACACTGCCCTTTCCCACCTGGACAAGAGGAACACCTACGTGAGAATGCTATTCATTGACTACAGCTCAGCATTCAACACCATAGTGCCTTCAAAGCTCATCATTAAGCTAAGGACCCTGGGACTAAACACCTCCCTCTGCAACTGACTTCCTGACCGGGCCGCCCCCAGGTGGTAAGGGTAGGTAACAACACATCTGCCACGCTGATCCTCAACACGGGGGCCCCTCAGGGGTGCGTGCTCAGTCCCCTCCTGTACTCCCTGTTCACCCATGACTTCATGGCCAGGCACGACTCCAACACCATCATTAAGTTTGCTGACGAAACAACAGTGGTAGGCCTGATCACCGACAACGATGAGACAGCCTATAGGGAGTAGGTCAGAGACCTGTGGTGCAAGGATAACAACCTCTCCCTCAACGTGATAAAGACAAAGGAGATGATAGTGGACTACAGGAAAAAAGAGGACTGAGCACGCCCCCATTCTCATCGACGGGGCTTCAGTGGAACAGGTTGAGGGCTTCAAGTTCCTTGGTGTCCACATCACCAACAAACTATCATGGTCCAAACACACCAAGACAGTCGTAAAGACTGCACGGCAAGCGGTACCGGAGCGCCAAGTCTAGGTCCAAAAGGCTTCTTAACAGCTTCTACTCCCAAGCCATAAGACTCCTGAACAGCTAATCATGGCTACCAGGACTATTTGCATTGTTACCCCCCTGCCCCCCTTTACGCTGCTGCTACTCTGTTTATTATTTTACATTTTAGTAATTTAACAGACGCTCTTATCCGGAGCGACTTACAGTTAGTGAGTGCATAATTTTTTTTTTTCATACTGGCCCCCCGTGGGAAACGAACCCACAACCCTGGCATTGCAAGCGCCATGCTCTACCAACTGAGCTACAGGAGGTTGATTATCTATGCATAGTCACTTTAACTCTACCCACATGTACATATTACCTCAATTACCTCGACTAACCGGTGCCCCCGCACATGGACTCTGTGCCAGTACCCCCTGTATATAGCCTCCCTACTTTTATTTTATTGCTGCTCTTTAATTATTTTTAACTTATCTATTTTTTACTTAACAATCTTTTTCTTAAAACTGCATTGTTGGTTAAGGGCTTGTAAGTAAGCATTTCACTCTTTCATTTCATTTCACTGTTGTATTCGGCGCATGTGGCCAAATCAAATTTGATTTGATTTGAGAGGAGGGTCAGGTTAAAGGTGTTTATCCTCTCACTAGAGAACGCAGCCTGAGGTCCCAACACACTGAAGGCTCCCAGAAGCTCCAGGTGTTGGAACCTCCAGTTGTCACTGGTGTAGAGAGGAGTAGGCAGGAGGCAGTCGCAGGTTTAGAACTACTGAATGTATTTAAGTACCATAGATCAAAGTGGGACGAAACCCAAACGCTGTTGTGCTCAAAATATATCTTCATAAACAAAAAGGCACAGGGCGAACCCAAAGTGCAAAATATAAAGTACTCAGGAAATAGTAGGAGTGATTCCTCTCAGGAAAACAAGTAACATTTACAATGACCGACAAAGGTACATGGCAGATGGAGTATATATACAGTGATAGAGTGGGGATTGGAACCAGGTGTTAGTAATGATGACAAGACAAGTCTGGGTTTGATGAGTGAAGGGCGTTTGCCAGCAGTAGGTTTGGCAGCAGCTAGAAGGCCGCGACGCCGAACGCCTGAGCTGGATAGGAGGGGGAGCCAAAGCGAAGGCTGGTGTGACACCGGTCTAGGCTGTCCTGGAGGCCAACAAGATATGGATCCATGACATAATTACAGCACAAAACAGAAAATAAGTGATTAATAGTTTATCCAACACACATGTAACATTGGTTTCATCACAGCATTTGAAATCAAATGTTTTTACCTCCTCTCTGAACCGAGCCCAGAACTGCTCCCTGG